TTAATGTTAATGTTAATGTTAATGTTAATGTTAATGTTAATGTTAATATCCATACTACAAATCTCTTATTTTTTGCCTTTTCTCTTTCTACCCTCTTTTGCAGAATGATGTATCAATTCCCCGAGCATACGCCCTACATGATGCCATACAGCATGGATTATGGCATGCATCCCGAAATGGCATCTGGAGGCGAAATGTATCCAGCAGCGCTGCAACTGGCCGCGGCGCCTATGCAACACCACGGCGAAAGTCTCGCCGCGGAGAGTAATTTGCATCATAACATCGCCGATATACAAAATAACACACAGGTATTAGCCGCACTCAATGCCGTACATTTAGGACCGAAAGTGAAACGGGAGGACTCTTGGTTGGGAAAGGGTGAGTTTAGTTTTTCAGCACGATAATCGTTAAGGGACTATCCTTGACTACTTGTGTATATTTTTGAATTATTTTGCCTTTTCGAATTTCAAAATATTCGCAAAATTGCGATACCAGTTGGCGGCAGAAAGCCATTACGCTACGTTAATAGTCCATTTAAGCGAAAATTTCACAGGAATCCATATTTTGAATATTTTATGCGGGACAAAAGTTGGCGTCGTCGTAGTGAAGAGGAGGTGGCCATTAAGGTCGCTTTGGCTGCAGCAGCGGCGGCAACTGAGGAGGAGGAGCAAGAGGAAGCAGAATTGGGTGATGATGATATATTCAATCACGAGGAGAGTATAAAGGATACATTCGAGTTTTTGGGCATGCAATTGCGGCGGAAAAAACGACAGCGGCAACTATAGTTCTAACTAACTAAGCACATGAACTTATTATAAAAAAAACACGCTTGGATGCAAAGCAGTGTGGTTAAGACGATTGGTAAAGACGATGAATGCTCGTTATTGTATAAATGCTCTTTAAATATAAATTTCGCCAGTTAAACACATACATATTTAGATACACCTAATTTATACTATTTTTCATCTTTCCTATTTGGATGCAGCTACTAGAATAAGGGCCAGTTTCTCAATGTTAACACTAACTGCAGGTAAAACATCGTTGCCGACGTGATCGATTCCGTAGCATATAACAAGGAGTCGATAACGTCGATAACGATGTTTTATCTGCAGTTAGTGTTAACCAGACATAGAGAGACTGGCCCTAAGTTAAATTGGGTGGGTTAGCCACTGCAGGACTCTGAAGAGACCATAGAGGGCCATAGCGTTGCCAAAAAAAAAAAAATCACGAGGAAATTGCACAGCTAATTTCTAGAAACCAGGAGGAAAGTTGAAACATATCGCAGTGCTCTTGATCAACAGTAACGCTTCATTATACCTTATTTTGGTGTCTTCCTTTAATTTCGCTTCGTATGAGCTTGCTAACATATATTCTACACACAATCCTGGACATCTTCCAGCTATGTATGTGTTTTGGTCCGCAACTTCTGTGCCTTCTGGGGTAATTGGAAACTCTTCTATCCGAAAGAGCGCCTTCTTTGGCGAGTCTGTCGGCTTGGCAAAAAATAACACTTTTCCAGTGGCTTCTATCACACAAAACTTTTTGAAATTATAATATTTATTATTTTATTAATAAACATAACATAATTAAAATTTGGTGTTACCACTGCTGCTACAATGCATCAGCACAAGCGATAGACGCCATAAAAAGCAAATGCATTACCATTGCAGTCTGCTGCCTAAGGTCACCTCAAGGTATTTTGTGCAGTCTTTGAGGGCATTCTAATGGAATGCGTGCGACGGATCTTTTCTTGTCGAAACTTGACCAGATTGGTCGAGTCGTCCCACACGTGAGTTCTTCCGACCAACTTTCATTTACCTCCTCGACGAAGTGTGTTTTAAGCCATGTTTGGTTCCCTTCCTGGTAAGCTCATCTGATCTTCAGTTACCTTGTGTGCATCTTTTAACTGGTACTCACACAATGTTCGTTGAGGACTTTCCCACATTCAATCGCAATGTTTTATAAGGTTCCACTGCAATCCACTGCCTATAGGAGCATATGGTTACTGAAGCCAGATCGGGAGAATATTCGAAAAGCCAAAGTGGAGTATCTTTTTTGGCCACGAGCTCTACTTTGAAGAGTCTACCCTACAAGACGCGACTACCTGAAATTCAAATACGTTGAAATAATTTCTCTTGAAACCAAGACTTACACCCAAATGTGACGCTTAAGTGGGTAAGACAGGAAGGGATAAACGATCGTACAAGCGCTTTTGTTAGTTTTGTCAACTCGGCCACATATGTATGTAGAAACTTTCATTGAAATCTATGCTATAGCACTATGTTAAATCGTATGTATTTACCCCACAGTGTTTTTTCAAGTCGTTGTGATACCCTTCGAGTGCATGCTCGTCTTTTTAGAACCATCCGTGTAGACAACTGAAGATTTATCTTGGAGCCTCGACCGAATTATCCTCTCAATATTTACTCGAAAAGAAACGAGTGGAGAACTTCTTCTCAAACTCAAAAGGCCGCGTTGTGTAATCTGCCTATTGGAATTCTGACTATCGAAAAGCTAAAATTCTCGAAAGGAAAAGCAGTGTTGTCTAGAAGTACATTACATGAACATTTTCAGATGCAATATATTTATAACCAGTGGAATCTGACAGTATAAGGGGCATGAAATTAGATGTTGCACACTGTTGGTGCGCCTGCTATTTTGGAGATTTTTTTGCGATCAAAATTAGCGATAGGTAATATTGGAATCCGGCTGTGGGTTGTCATGTTGGTGTGTGTGGTTTCGCATTTAGTCTGATTGCAACGGGCAGAAGGATTAAGGGCGTTTCGAAGGCTTTAGTGTGCGTGGATACAGCGACTTATTAAGTGATGTCCATTTACGATTTATGTATAAGTCCAGCGCATTCTTTATATGAGGTGTAAGATAACATTTCTTACCTATAGCCGTTATGTAGGCGTAGAGGGCGGTAATAGCCTTTTTGGCTCGCTCCTCTACGTTTCATTCCCAGATCAGTATACTATACAAAATAGCGGCCAATTATACTGATACCATAAACAATGTATCAATATCGTTGTTCAATATATCGGTTACTTTATATCGATATCAAGAGTTGCGATACGATATCGATACAATATTATGTTTCGATATCTGAAATACCAGAAACTTTTCTTCACGTTCTTTGGGCTCCTTTGAAAATAAAATTGACTCGTTGGACAAATTTTTCGTTCTCACAAAACAGCTTTTGGCATAGTAGACAGTATTGCCGCGGCCGACAAATAAAATTTACCAAAATCGTTCATAAAATTTACCTTATCCCGTTAAATTAATCAACTTATTTAACGAGCCTTAATAAAATGAAAAATCTTTAGAAGTAGTTGTTAAAACCGTGGCTTTTCTTACCAAGCTTGGTAAATTGGTTATTAGTAAAGGCAATCTAAAAGTCCATTTTGTCGTCAATAGATTTTTTAGTCTAAAAATTGATTTCAACATTTAGTCCTATAATAGTTAGCAGCTGCTCTTTCGCTAGTTTTTTAAATTCATGCAAAAAAGGAGGTTAGAGGCTTTCTCGTAAGCAAAATATAAGTCTCATGTCGCGTTTCCACGACAGTCGGGTCTACGTAACTGGAACGGCACAGATTTATATCTGAAACAGTTGTATATTATTTAGCTCGCGTCCCCCCAACTGACGAATGGCCATAAATATGTCTTATGCTTTTAATTTAAATTTAAAATTCATACATTTCTTCCCTTTTTAATAAAATTATCGTTAAATTTATAGATTTTATTATTAAAAAAAAATTTATTTTTAGAAACTTACTTTATGTATTTTATTTAATTGATTTTTTTTCTCAATGAATTTTCTTTCCATGTTTAGATGTTATTGTTTAAAAAAGAATAATAGTTTTTTATTTAATTTATTTAATGGAAAATTTTATTTTATTTTATTCATAAATTAATTTTGTTCCCTTTTTAGTGTAAATTTATTTTAATTTTTAGATTTTATTGTTTAAAAAAGAAGAATATTTTTTTTAGTTCAATAAAATTTTCTGGAAATAATTTTGTTTATTTTTTTAGTTTAATTCGTTTTTAGTTTGTTATTTCATTTTCGTTTGAGTTTTAGATTTTATAGTTTTAAAAAGAAAAGTATATTTGTTCAATATATTTAATCTTTAGGATCTTATATTTTTTTGTCTTTTTTTAACTTTAATTTTCTTTTAGTTTTTACATATTGTTAATTTTTATTAAATTAATTTTTAAGTATGTACTATTTAATTTTTTGTTTTTTTTCCTTTTACTGTTTTAAGAAAAACAATTATTTTAATTTCATTTGATTTTTAAAAATATATATTTTTTGTCTTATTTTCATTCTTTTTATTTTTATCTTCTTTTATTTATTACTTTTAAATGTTTTAAAAGAAAAAAATGTATATATGTTATATTAATTTAGTTTAATGTTTAAAAAGCTTATTGCTAAATCCCGCACGCCATAACGCTAAGATCTACTCGTTAGCGGATCTTTCAATTCGAAAGACGGTCAAGAGCTGTCAAGGTAGTTTCCAGAATTGACAATTGTAGTGAGTTAAGAGACATTTGCCAGAATTGTCCTATAATGCGCAAAATACAACACACAAATGTTTGCGCAAATACAAATGGGTACAAATAAAATTTCTTTTGAATTCTTATTCGATTCTTATTTGAGGCCATAATGACATATCTGCAAAAAAAATTTTTGGTAATATGAAAAAGAAGCATCTTTATTTATTTATTTATGATGCCTATTTACAACACCAATTATGCAAGAAAATGATGACTAAAATAAATATTATAATTAAGCTTTATGTTTTCCATTTGCATTTCCGTTGCAGCAGCAGCTGGAGTGGGAGTGAGGCGACCACTAGTCTATAACTACATACAGCCCCATCATCCATACTATCGCGCCTGATGACCAACATAAACACTACTGCTAGCCAAATCTCGCCACATTTAGGAAATTTTAAAACCATTTTTTTTCTCTTTAATGGTTTGCCTAGAATGGTATTACAAGTTGTATTTGTAATTTATTCTAAACTCTAGGTGATAGACTTAACGTTTTAATTATTTATTTCGATTTAATTGCAATCATATTAAAATGAATTAAAAAAATACCAAAAAAAAAGAGTTCTAAATATTTAACGATAAACGGTTTAAGCTAAATACTAATTAAGAGAGCTTGAACACACACATTTGTTATGTATTTGTAAGTTTGTATAGGTGTAGTTTTAATTAAAAACTCTGCTATTTAGCAACAAGTGCTACAAAAACAAAAAAAATAATTATGTTATAAAAAGAGTTTCGTAATAATATAAATAATGGCGAAAATAAAATAATTACAATATATATAAAAAAGTCAAATAATAATAAAAAATAAAAACTAAACGACAAAAATTTAATAACAAAAATAACTTTAACTTTTATGTAAGAATAAAAAGACAAGAAGAAATGTTGAAAGCTTCAAGAGCTTTGCTTGTTTTTTGTTTATTCGTTGTAAATTATTTTAAAATAAATAATGAAATAAATAGTAAATTACATTAAACAACGTTTCGATAAATAATTACTTTTGTTATTTTGCTTATACTAACTGAGATTTACGGTACGTATATTTATGTATATTTTTCTGTTTTTATATATTTTTTTTATTTTTATTGGCAACTAATGGAAAAATCCATATGTGATCAGGTTAGTTATACGAAAGAAGCAAAAATTTTTGAGAAAAAAAACACATTAGTGCGATTCATGAAACCTTGCAAAGTGGCATTTTTGGCGACATGGAAACTTTGCTCACATTTTGTATGAAAAAAAAAATGCCGCGCTTAAGTGAAATCGAAAAGTTTTTAAAATTATATTTCATTTCATTTTGTCGCAAGAAACTTTTCAAACAAATGCGACATTTGCAACAACTTTGTGAAGTTTCATGAATCCCAGTATTGAAAAATTCTCCCCGACTACCCAAGAAGTGGAAGGTCAACACTTAAAATAAATAACTTCAACAAACACAGTTATAAATACATATCTAGTTTTCAATAAATAAATAATTCAATAGAATCAATAACAGTGCATAGTAAGTATTTCGTATATGTATGTATATGAAAAGAAACAAATAGCCATCGCTGCCACAACTCAGTCGGCGTCGTTGGCTTTGAGTTTTTACATTTTATTGCAGTTTTTCTGCAGCTGCTTCTAGTAACTTGAATAGTAAATTATTTTTTTTTTTAATTTTATTCGTTCACTCTTTTATATCTGTAAAAAAAATGCATATTACTTCGTAATACATTTCTCCATTTAGTCATTTCATCATTTAATAAGTATAAACATTTGTACGACAATATTTCATCACTTTTGACTATCTACTCGTACTTCCTTTCTAGTGCAGCTGCTGCATCGGCATTTGTCCATTGTAAGCCATATCTTGCGCCTCCTGTGCAATTATCTGCGCCGGCACCTCAGCCATACCCTCAATGAAGCCATCCAATGCGCGCGCCCAACCCGAACTGTAAGTATCGTGATGTGGTATCTCGACAATGTGCTTCTTTTGCGATAGCAACTTCTTCAATGCGATTATCACTGACAGCAGCAGTGCAATCTTTGAGACAATTAATGCTTTACCCGCTAACAGAAAGAGACCTTTGAGCATTATGGCACCCACCATGCCCGCTTTAGCCATCATTATCATCAGCATAGGGCCCATATTTTTCATTTTGCCGCGTCCCTCTACGAGCGCCTCCACCGGACTAACGGATACGCCAAAATTCAAATTGCCTTTGGGTTCGGTGGTGAGTACGAAGTCTGCATTATCGGAGAATTTATAGCGTAGCGTACGTGAGCGTATGAATTTCCAAATTTTTCCGGCCACCAGCAGGCCAAGCGTCTCATCGTCGGACTCGATTGAACGCGCTAGCATTAAGTCATCGTCCGGGTCATCCGGTATGGAGTCGATATCTCTGTGAAGCAATAAGGTAAATGAAAATTAATGATTTATTGTTATTTTTTTTTTTCTTTTTAGTAAACAAAACTAAATATTTTTTTGTAGGCTTCGTGACTTATTGCCGCCGCTGCACAATTTTTTACAAATCTTCATGAGCAGGCATAATAACATTTTACCACCCACGAAAATGGTAATAAATGCAATTCAATGCTTACCTGTTTTGCGAGACTTTAAGGTTTTCATTTATCTCGATTGAAGACTTTTTAAATATTCGATTCATGTATACAATCAATTTGAGCATCATACACGAATGATTGTCCCTTTGACTACATTTACTATTAAGTTTTCGCAAAAAGCCCTCTTCCAGTTGATTGCGATTTACCACAGGAATCTGCAAGTAATGAATAAAAAGATACATATATATGGCGTATTATTTATAAAAATGATACGCACTAAAAGTTGACAAGCTTTTATTTAACTTGCTCTGTAAGTATGTTTTTAGGGGTGAATCTTGAAATCAGTTTTTTGACCAACTCCCTATGGTCTGGAAATTATTATTATTTTTTGCATAAACTATTAGAAACGAGATGTGTCACTTAAATGTTATTTTCCGGCTTAGTATGCCACATAAATAGAAAAAGTAAAAAAGAAGAGAAAAATTTGAGGCGTGGCACGCCCACTCCACTCATACAAATACAAAGAGTGATATAATTCAGCTGTCAGTGAAGCTAGAAAAGCTAAATTTGGTATAAGGGGTCAAGGCATATTTAAAATTTTGGAAAAGGGGCGTGGCCCGCTCGCTGATAAGGAAAATTTGTATATCTCACCAACCACTTGACCGATCTTAACAAAACTTAGCACATATAGTGTCGCTAGTATATTCAGTTAAACTTAATGAGATTAACTTATATAGTTCTATTTTAAATTTACTGTTATATGGAAAGTGGGCTTCAGTATTTACCGATTTATCGAAGATTTCGTATTTCTCCAAATTACCGTTATATGGGATGTGGGCGTGGTTTTCCTCCATTTGGTATACTTTAACCACTGCGCTAAGTTTGGGAGGAATTAGTGGAGCGGTTACCAAGATATATACATGTAATCATAAGTGGGCGTGGCTAGGCCCATTTTCCAAGCATTTATAACATTCTTTTTTTTTTGCCTACAAATCATTGTAAATATCAATTTTGAGTGAATAAGCTTCAGTAGTTTTACGATCGCCCTCTAGCCAAACTCCAATTATTGCTGTGTTGGAATTCAAATGTTGCTGAAAATTACAAATGATTTTAAAGAGCACACTCTCAACTTTTATCTAACATAAAAATCTCCACAAAACACTGGCAAATACCAAATTTTTGCGATAAAAAAGTTATTACACGAAACATCACATCATACAGATATTACACCAAAAACCAAATTTTTTTTTTATTCGGTTCAAAAATAGGGACCTTTCTTATTGTTTTCCATTGTAAATTGCTTAACTTTTTTTGTTTATTAACTATTATCTCACATTTCGTTTCTTACAAGCTTTTACTCAGCTGTTCACAAGTTCGTTGTTGCTTCAGAGGCATCATTTTTGACAGCTCATAAATAGAAAAGGGCTGCCTTATCAAGGTTATTTTTTGCATATTTTGGACCACTGAAATGTTTCCATTAATATTCTTTAAAACTAGTTAAAGGGTTTTTTTTATTTATGCAAAACAAAAATGGACCATAGTGCAACTTCCCGATGACCCAGAGACTTGAAGCTTCACAGTTGGCTCATAACCCGATGAAGACGCAATCTGGAGATGAGTTAATCCGATAGGTGGCGCAGGAGTCGACATATTAAAAAAAAACGTATTTATGGTCCGATTTAATTCATTTTTAAAAAGCTTGCTTTAAAAATATTTCTATTTACTATTAATATGTTGTTTTTATTTAATGTGGTTTTATTTTCTTATAAAATTATAGCTTGCTATCTAACACAAATTATTAAGTCTAAATTTAAAACTTTGTACAAAAGTTTCATTAGGGATTTCAACTCTACTTTTGAGATGTCCTCTACCTTCTCTAATTAATAGGCTCCCAAGAATTTTAGTAGTGTTTTTGACAGTGCAGGACATCGGCAGAGAAAATGATCCAAGGTATTCCTTGTCTCCCGCTTACGACACTTTCTACACCAGTCACCAGGATATACCCCGTCTGCAACCTTTCTTTGGTTGCCGGAAGAAGAAGTTAGTATAAATGCTTCCATCGTTTTCGCACATGATTTTTGCTGTTTGGCAGGTGGTTAACCCATTTCATCAATCCCTGAGCTGCCCTATCATATTTTCTGTGGAGTGTTCTACGAATGTTAATGGCTCACCGGCTGCAAAGAATGTTTTTGGATGAAATACTATGTATATGCGTATAGGTTTATTTTTCAGTTGATTGTCGTTTTATTCCGAAACCTTACTGCCAGCATGACGCTCAGTTTCTGGCAGTATATGCTGGCTCCCACTACCATTACTATTTTAAAGCCGTCCCTTATGACCGCCAATCTAGCTGCTAGGTCGGTAACCCGAGAATTATTGAAAGAGCAGCCGTTGGATTGGACCTCAGTGCTCCCGTGATGTACATCGCCGCGAGTCGCTGAAGCTTCTGCATTGGCCCGAAGTATGAGGACCTTTTTGCGGCATTACACCACATAAAACCGCCATGCAGCAGTATTGGTCTGCCTATTGACAGACCCCAAGTGACTCCCGGCATTATTTTGTATGCATATTGGGCGTTACTGGCCTTCTTCACTATTTTCTTAACATTGCGCTTCGACAGCAGCTTACTATCCAAGACTACTCCCAAATACTTTATATTTTTCACTAATTGATAGCTCAGTGCTACAGCCTCGGTCGTCTCCTTTCAAGGCGCTGTGCATTACATTACTTATAGTGTCTAGGTACTTCCCTGTTGCTACCACGACTATGCCGTCTGCATAAGTTAGTAGCCATAATAATGGTGAGAGTACGCCTGAAAAAAAAAATACAAGTAATTTTTAAGACCAGCCCTGAGGTGCCACCTTTCCCCTAAAAAAATAATTATCGAAATCGATTGACGTGGTCCAAAGTCATGCGGCAACATAAAAAAAATAAAGATATTTCCACGAATTGATAGAAGTTTTGAAGTCGCTTAAAAAGTCACATATCAAAGTTAAATTTTTGCAAAAAGTACTCTCACTAGGTGGCGCCAAGGTCGAGATATTTTGAGAAGCCGTATTTATGCTCTGAGTTGTTTTAAATTTGGCATATTTATTTGAAACACAGTAACA